ACATTTGCCGTCGTTATCGAGGACCGGGCGCTCGTATTACTCATATCCTCTGATTATATCAACCATTCAATTGTCGCCAAATTTGGTGTCATATGAGAAATGATTGGACAGAAAGTGATAAGAGATTGAGACATTCAGTGAGACAATGAGAGTGAAAGTGAGAGATGTCTTACCAATACTAGTGACACAGGAGTTCTCGGTGTTGAGACTATTCCTGGGTATCATGAGGTGACACTTGGACTCCGAGGTCTCAATGGTAGGCCACTTGCAGGCCGAGTCCGACTTGATTTGTGACGAATACGTGACCTTTGCGTGAAAGGCGTTCAATGAGGGCGACAACGAGGGGGCCATCGAGGGTGTCAGTGAGGGGGTGTAAAATGGAAATAATATTATACACCAATCAGATTTGCACAACATTTGCTGATAGATGAGGCATGGGAGCAATTATAAGCATGATACAGTGTAAGCATTTTATGTTTAAATTTAGCCCAATTTTTAAGATATTTAATATCTATAAAAGGTTAGCAACAACAAATTGAACTAAAATCATTATATGATTTGGACTAATATAATAAAATAACATAATAATAGTTTTTAAGATTTGGTTTTTAGCCACAAATTTTGCTGATTTTTAAAATTAGTTATAAAGTTACTAGAAATTTCGAGAAAATATTAAATTATATTTTTTGAAATAATTTCTAGAAAATACTATAATAACTGCTTTTATGTGGAAAACAACTGAAAGGCATATTTCGAAATAAATATTTAAAAATATAATTTTATTAATCGATTTGATTATAATAAATAAATGCATTGTTATATAAAAGGTTTCGTACTTTTAATTTATTTCTTCTGGGATTTCTATAGTTGTATTCAGCGGTTCCCCGGCCTTCACAGTAATCTTGATATTGCGATAAAACGCATAAAATTGAATAAATCTGTTATTCATATGAGGATTGAGAGGAAAGGGAGAGAAAGACAAAAGTAATGAATAAATGAATCGCTGTTTTGACCAATATTTCAATGATAATTACATTAATAATAGATAAGACAAATAGATTTCTTAATCGAAATATAAGAAATAATTTTTTGCTAGCATTGAGAGCAATATATCTTACATTAAATAATACGATTAGGATATCGATCGCATAAATAGTCGGCGTTTCCTCCACTTCTTGCCGGTGCTCTACGTCTTCATTATTAAAGTCCCGCTTATTATTGGA